TTATTTCCCTGTTTATTTTGTTTTTTGAGAAGATAGAGATAAGGGAGAATTTTCCACTGGGAAAAAATCCAACATACAGCCTCAGACCAAGATGACATTAACCAATCTGCTAGTAAAGCTTTGACTCAAATTATGGGAACAATAGGCCCTCAGGACTTCCATGAGTCCTGTTTCCCCAGGAGACAACACCTCTGCAGGCACAGCGTGTGGGCCACAGTGGGCAGTCTGAGGAGTCGTGTGATTCACAGCAGTGGCCCAAGAACAGGCAGAGGCTCCAGGGAACTGAGGCAAACAAACAGGGATTCATGTGAACATTTTCATTGTGGGTGTAAAGATGAAACTTTCTCAATTCAGCTAATTGAGAAAGGGTCTTTAGAACTGAGGGTCTTTAGAATTTTCCAGCCCAATCAAAAAGCAACATGGAAATATCTAATTTCCAAGAAAAAAAAAGACATTTTTTTTTCTTTTTCTCCTAATTTTCTCTCATATCATGTTTCTTCTCTCCTTGTCGTACATCAGCAAAACTAGGCTTTCTAAGGAATGTGCTAATCCTGCACGTTATAGCATAGCAATGCTTTCCTCTTGGCTGGAGCTTAGAGAAGTGATGCCAAAATAAAAGAAAAAAAATAAAGAAAAATTAAATTAGCCAAGTATTGAGCTTATCGCAAAAGGGAGAATGAGAGACATAAAACTTAAGAAAATCCAGGTGTATGGAACAGGCAAATACTGCCTTAATTGAGACCAAGAAACATTCTAATTGTTACAAAATGCTAATAAGCAAAACCACTGGTTCCTTAAATGAACATTTTACTAAATCACAGGCATTTAATTTCCTCTCATGCATTTCAATAGCATGCATTGCCTGAAAATAAAGCACCAAAAGAAATGCAAAGATTCTGTTTATCAAAAAAAGATTTGTTGAGACAATTAGAGTTTTTACAAAATGATATTTTAAAATATTATCCATCAGTTAAGCACAGAGAAAGTACATAATTTGGCACTAATTTGTCTCTAGTTCAAAATAGAAGGCACATTTCAGTAAAATGTCTTGAGTAACCTTAGCAAGGGAATGTAAAGGAACTCCTTGTATGACTAAGAGGACAGAAAAGCTTGTCACTTTAGAAAGTCCAGGGATGCAATATCCATATATTGCTAATCAGAGCAACTTCATAAGTGCACTTTTTAAAGAACTGCAACTGATTAACTGATAATTAACCAGTGGAATTGATTTTTATTTCAGCCCATCAGCCCACACATTGGTAGGACCTGAGGACAGATAATTTGTCTGCGATCTGGAAAAGCAGAATTGTGGAACAGAATTAAGACATTTTGCCTAGAATTACTCTGGAAGGTTTAGGTTAGTTATCTATGTTTGGTATGACCTTCATGAAATAGAAACCTTTTTGCTTCATTTTATTCCTCTGACTGGGCAATTGGAATATCCCTGGTCTTTCTGCTAAAACGTCAGAATGGCCCTTGAAGCAAACTCAATTCCAAGTCTGCCTACAGATTTTCTCAGGACAAATCATTCTCACTGAAGGACAACCTCATTTCTTACCTTTCTTTTCTACTGAAAAAGATGAGTGAGTAACCCTCCCCCATTTAGCCTTGGGAGCTATTCAGGAACTGCAGTGACAGACATCACCATTTCATTGAGGCTCAGCATTAAGTATTCAGACTTTTCAATGGTTCAGTACAGGCGTGTGAGTTGGCATTCACTGTTTGCTAACCAGTCTTCCATGTCCTCTGTCCACAAAACCTTAGCAACAGAACTGGCCCTGCTTTATTCAGAAAATTGAGTTATTAATGTATGGGGAAATGTATGCCCTGAGAATATTGGTACAGACAACATGGACACTGACAGCTTAAAGGGACAAGCTTTTGAGAAATTAAGTCTGTATTTAGGCTGAGACTGCAGATTCACAGAACTGAATGGCCAAAACCTCAAATAACTTCAAAAAAAGCATATTTTTCATTTCAGTGGTCAAATTCAGTGCTTCAATGAATTTAGAAAATTCATTGAAGATACATGAACCATTACACACACATTATTCCCTACAAGTTGAAGTTCAGCTCTTTATCTTTTTACAAACCTAATGCAAGTAACAATTTTAGTGAAGCTACACCAACAAATGGAAAACAAAACAGTGAGAGTAGGTCCTTTGCTTTAGCATAAAATGAGTGATAAATAAAGCCTTACAAACTGTTTAAGCCAACCCAATAAAAGTGTTGCTGTGCAGAAGACTGGTAAAAGTCTAGCATAAGCTTAGGAAAGATAAACATGAAACAGTACAGACATCTCAACTGTGCAAGGTTTATAGCAGTGTAACGCATATTTCATCAATATAAAAATATATTTAATCAAATCTACAGAAAACTGTTTTATGAAGGAATGTTGTATTGTGTTCTGACTCTACTCTTCCACTGAGTATTTTGCTTCCACAGGTCACTTCCACACACGAGAAACAATTGCTTTTTTTCAACCTTTACCCAAATTCTTTCCCATCCATGATAATATAAAAAAATTTAACTTCCCTCTTTTAGATTTTACAGAAGGTTTTTTGCATCTTCTGAATAGAGATTGATCTGATCAATGATGGCAGGCTGCTTCAAGGATACTGGCACATGTGTGACACCCACAGAGACCACCCCCATTTCCTGGGAAGGCTGGTGTAGTTTCCTCAGTCATCTTCATTTTCACTTTACCATTTCCCCATGCTTTCTCACAAATGTAGGTATCTCAAGTACCTTGCTAGAGGAAAAATCTTACAGATCTAGATTTATCTTAATTTTCTATAAACAGTCATTCTCACCAGCTGTGTTTGCTGCTCTGCTGGACTATGCCATCTCACAGCAGGCCCCGAAGTGCTTCAGCTCCATGAGAAGGAGTTTAGTCATGCATAGGATCTGGGGATGAAATACTTACCAAAATCTCTCCTACTCCTTCACAACAACAACAACAAAAACCAAACTAAACCAACTCACAAGAAAAAAAACACAGTACCTGAGCATCTGCTTGCACACCCCTATCAGCTATTTCAGGGCAGCGTCATTCACCAAAGGTAAGCCCAGATCCATCAGGCAAATTTGGCTGCCCAAACATTTCTCTTCACGATTCTGAGTATTTTATGCACTCTTTCTTTTAATATTGACCTTGGTGATTTGACTTCTGTTCACTGTAAGTTCAAAACTGCTCCTTGGTTCTGGTAGGGAATTGCTTTTTCACAGCAGCACCCTGAGGCACACCAAAGTAACAAGGAAATTCAACCAGGCATGCTCCTCTTTGCACTCCTTGCTTGCCAACAGGAGTCAACAAAGTGCTGCTACCAGGAGGCCAGCTGAGATGAACTACCTATAGTAGCAATGCCCAAATTTAGGGTAGTGCTGATGTTTTTCTGTATGTCCTTGAGCACACAGAGGACACATTTGTCCCATTCCTGGAAGTGTTCCAGGCCAGGTTGGATGAGGCTTTGAGCAACCCGGTCTAGTAGAAGATGTCTTTACCCATGGCAGAGAAGCTGGAACAACAGAGTCTTTAAGGTTCCTTCCACCCCAGACCAGTCTATGGTTCTATGTTTATTTGAAGGCTGTAGGTCCATCTGACATTCTCAGAGCATCATGGTTGCTCTTCTTTCCATGGATGACCCATTCCACCAAGAAGCCCACACTTTCAAAGCATCAAGGTAGTAGGCCCATGTACTAGGCAAAGCAGTAATAATTCTGATGAGCCTGACAGACAGTGACATGAACCTGCCTGGTGAATCCATTTGATGCCTGGTCCACAAAGATACACCAAGTGAGAATTTTTCTGAGAGATTAATTTCACAGAAAGAATATACACTGTGCATTTTTTTTGCCAACAAGTGATGAAAATTAAATCACGGAAATTTTCTTAATTCTCATTCTGCCTACAAAAAACACTCAAAACTAAACAGACAACAAAAAAAAAAACAGGAAAAAAAATTAAGGAAAGTAAAGTTCTCATGCAAATAATTTAGTAAATACAAAAGATTAGTTTTGTGCTTAGCAAACACCCAAACATTAAGGAGTAGATGTATCTTACATACTGAACGGGAATCCTATCTTGTTTAGGATCCAAAGAGGACCTTGAAACTGTGCACTGATGCTGAAAGGATGAAAGAATCTGAGAATAACATGAACATATACAAAGTGGGAAATGAGATTTATGTGTGAAAGTCAAAGCCAGCATCTTGCCCTTTCAAGCAAATTGCATTTGCAGGAAAAAATACATCCCACTACTTAGTTCACACAGAATTCAATAGGTTTCTACACATATACATGTGGACCTGTTTACATAAACTCCAGTGAGGAACACGAACATGAAATAATAAGAATAATAGATTTCTATTCTTAGTATTGAATGAAGGAAATCAGTGCAGTGAAATTTCTTTTTCAAATACAACAAACACCATTCCAAACTCATCATGAATTTTTCTGCCCAAGGCTGAGTGGGGAAACACAACATCTATTTTCATTCCATGTACAATTCTTAAAAACAACATTGTAACTGAATGATTCAGAAATATTGAGTCTTGGAGCAGTTATTTTTCCCATTGCTTCAGAATAATGTTTCAAAATCCCAACAGAAAGCCCCCATAAAAATGCAGGGATCCAACTGTATATAGCATCAGTAAAAGTCTATGGTCTATCAATCTCCATGCTCTCCAACTGAAGCTTTCTGGGTTTATTTGCCCTAGAAGTTGTCTCTACTTCCAGCCCTCCAGTGCAGGCATGTCAATAGGCAGGCTCCCCTCCTCTGGCACAAGGTTCCTAGGAAGCATTAAAGGAGAAGGCATCAGGAAGCTACTTCTGCTGCTTCCCCAGCCTCTGCTTAGCCTACCAACCCCATGCAAGCAGCCATTCAAGCTTCTTGCTGTTCCTCTGGTTCCTCCTGTCTCTCCTGCTAGCATGTGTCACAAAGATGTATGCCATGGAACTGCCACTTGGCAACTTCCAACTCTCATCATCGGGCTCTCACAAAGATCCTCACACTTTACCTCTTGTTAAAGGCCAGCTAGTACTTAAAAGAACCCCAGTAGATTGCTTCTTTCAACAGCTTTTGAAGGTGTCTGACTTTCTTACTGGTTTTCTTCCCCCTTCTCTCTTTATTAACTTCACCTTCTAATTAGGTCCCATGAAGATACATCTTCTCATTTAACTTAAAAGGTTCATTGACCCTCTGGCGTACTGTTATAACCCGTAACCTGTGAGTACAGTAATTAGGACATTATAAAACACTGAGCTGATCTGTACGCTTCACATTCAGAGGAAGAGACGTGTGCTGCGTTGCAAAGAGAGCTGGCTGAAGCAAGAGAAGCCCAAAGTGAAGCAAAAAATAATATTTTAAAAGAGAAAGTGGGGATTATTCATGGGAAGAAGAGATCGATTGGAGCAACAAACTTCAAGGAGAGATGCTAAGGGCAGATGCTCAATGTGCTTCAAGAAAGCTCCAGGAGCAGTAAGCAATAAAAGACAAGCAAAAGGCAGGAGAAGGAAGGGCAGCAATCACTCTCTGACTTTTGTAACACATTCCTACTGCAGCAGACTAGCTGTAACAGAGTACATGATAAGAAACTAGTTGAGAGTCAGCTTTTATCACATGCTGCTCCTAGTGTGACCCGTGACACAAAGATGGACCCAAACTGTCTTCACTACATTCATACAGTCATGTAACTCCACAAGGATATTCATGCAAATTCAATAGGTCAACTTAATCATCAAGGAAATAATAGCACCTTTCCTAAAATGTTTTTCTTGTGAAGACAACTGGTTCATTTTATTCTTATTTACTATTACATTGTTTTTCAGCCGATAAAAAAAGAATGTGTCAAAATGTCTGACAACACCGACCACCAAGAGACAGATGAAACTGCAGATACAAGCCAGTGTTATACATCACTGTGAGTATGAAGCAGGATTTCAAGCACTTTTTTCAGACATCCCTGAAAGTAATGGTTTATGAACCACATCCTTGGCTTTTTAATCAACACAGATATACTGCCTTCAACAGGAGTACACTGCTAAATATACGTGTGCTGATGTACAATATGATACACTAAAACAAGTATATCATGCTTAGATCTATGTCAAAGTAAAAAATGCATTAAGTGTGTACATGGAACTGTATTTGTACCAATGGAGAATGTAGCTCATTAAATTGCTAGATTTAATGACAAGATTGTTAACAGTACAGAGATATCTGCAAAATCCTTTGGATCATCCTGGATTATCTCTTCAGCTTTTCCTCTTACATAATTTTTAATTTCCTTGTCAGTTAATCCTGTTATGGAGGAGGTTTTGAACAAACACTTTAATTTTTGCATGTTCTAAGGGGTATATGATGCAAATTGATTTCCATGATATCCCTTTTCTATTGTGACCCTTCACCATTTAAGCTCTGCAATAATATTATATAATGGAGCCCACACATCACCCTTCTCTCTTTTATAACACAGTCACATCACAGCATGTACTTTTACGAGCACCTCAGAAAAATGCCTTGCTGGTTCTAAAACCCACACACAATTCTTTTTCCTTCTATTTTTTTTCCCCACAGAAATTCTGATTTGCTTCGTCAACATCAGTTATTTATCCCTGTAGCAGCCTGAAAAAACAGGCAATGTTAGTCTCTCTTGTAAATCCTGAATAAGTGATGTTAACGATTACAGTTTACAAAACCGTTGCTGCCGGAGACACCTCAAAGTTCATCAATGAAATAAAGTGCGCCTTAAAGTCTAGTGCTACTCCTATTAATCAAAGCTTTTCCACTCTATAGAAGCAGGCATGCTTTGAGAGCATGTGTGTCTGGGGAACTCAGCTTGCTGTAATTCCATAAACATTCGTCTTCCCTGCAGAATCAAGAGGCTGAAGGGAATCAATCAGGTATGATACAATCTGCAGCAAAAATGCTGAGATCCAGTCCAGTGACTTAGGGGCACACCTTCTACCTCGCCTGTAGGGTGTTTGTGAAGCTGGTCCTTTAATACAAAGACCCTCATTTCATGTTTGGCCAGTAGAAAGAGAAAAGACTGTGGTGATGCACAAACTTTAATACAAGTTCAAAAACCTTTCTTCTTTTTTTTTTTAATTCTCCATTATATTAGAATATATAACAACACTACATCCACAATGCACCTAATGGTTTTACAGGAAGGAGTTTCTGGAAGAAACAGCTATTCCAGTTTTTCTTTGACCATATTCTTTCTCTCAAATATCATGTTTATCAACCATGCTTTGTTTTCACATGTGGTAGAAAGCTTTTTCTATAGATGGCGCTCACGAGATCCAGGTAAGCGTGCAATGATAATTTTGGTATTTGCTTGTTTAAAACAGAGTTCATGTCAATGATAAACAAACCTCAAAAGACATATTCCAGGCAAAGGGAATGTTTGTGTGGATTCCAATACTCCATCTCTCTCCAACAGCCTGCTACCCAGTCTTTTCACAATCAGCATAAGAACTCACATATGTTTCCATTTTGTTTCCATATTTTCCCTTTTGTAAACCAAAGAGGTCCATAAGAGATTATGCAATGAAAGACATTTTCTCTGCTCATCCGATCCCCAAACATGATAAAATATCACAAATAATTGTAACTATAAGAGCCAACTCTCACCTAAGCTATCAGAAAAGATTGGGAAGCACCTGCAAAGGACTAAGGGCATTTGGAAGCATGTCAGAGGGATTAAATAAGGAACAAAAACTGCGTGGTCTTTGAAGGAGGTAGCACAGAGGAGAAAATAACGAAGAGAATAAGACAGCATAAATAATATTTCAGAGCTGGAAGTGTCATAATCAGGTCAAAAGGAAAAAAAAGATGGCTTTGGCGATCTGTGTGCTTATAGCTTGAAGGGAGATCAGAGAGCGAGTGTTATCATAGACAAGGAAGGATGTAAAGGGGTCTGGAGGAGGAGATTTAAAGTTGTTACTGTCTGAGTTTCCTCACTGTAGAGTTCAGAGCTTTGGTGTTCTAGCCTTATTGAGACCATCATCATAATAATATAAGCACCAATCATAACCATTTCTGCTCCTCCTTTTTTTCAATCTCACATTTCACAGTTTAAAAATTCATCATGGTGGATGAATAGACTGGCTATATTTATAATATTGAGTTGTTGGTCCATTTACACACAGGTGCAACAAAAAAAGCTACCCTTGAGTTTCTATTCTCCATTAACCTTGCCAGCAAATGAAATCCGTGCCAGTTTAGGAAAACATCACATTTTTTTCTGGCTGCCGGTAGAGAAGGAGGAGAGGAACAGGTAGCAACAACCTTGTCTCTCTTTTGGTTTGGGGTTTATGCCAGCTGCATTATTTGTATTTAGGCTTTGTTTTCTGGCATTTTCCCTTTAAGCATATATCTCTATTAACGCAAACACATTATGAGAAGACTACAAGGTTAGATTTACAAAGTCAGCTACTCAAATGCACTGGAACACCAAAATTTGGGTTGTCTTCAAAAATAAGTATCGGGAGGCATAGAACTGAAGCACCATCTTACAGAGCCACCTTGGTTTATAATCTCCGTAGTTAAAAGTAATCAAAGTCTATATCCTGTATGAACCAGCTACTACCAGAGACAAGAAATGTGGTTGGATAGTGAGCTTTGCAAGCATTTTCCAGCAGCAAAGAAACTTTGTCTTCTGCTCCTCTGGGTGTGGGGTGTTCAGTATCCGCAGGTTTCAGCCATTCTCCCTCTCATTGCTTTCCACTCATTTTCTCTTCTTTCCTGTACACTTACCCTGGCACCTCACCCCTCTCTGCTCTGCTTCAATACCCAGCCTGCTCTGGTTTGTGTTTTCACTGGTATACAACCCCACTAGGGTACTGCTACTTCACCTCCTGGGTCTCCCACTGTTTCTCCCATCCTGGTATTCCCATCCTGGTATGTGCCATTTCTTTTTTGCTTTCTGATCACTAAGACTTGCACACAAAATTCCCTCTGGGCCACAAAGGAAGCACCAGTCTCTGGGAGCTCCCCATTCCTGATCTACATTTCTGACCCTGTCTCCATTCTTCCCTACCTTGTTCCTGGCAAAGATGGACATTCTTTTGACACTACGCTTTCAGGGCAAACAAAATATTTTTTCCTTAATTTTATTCTTACAGCTCTCTTACTTCAGCTGAAATAGAGAAAAAGTCTTGAAAGGAAAAGGCTGCTTTTAGAGTCTTGAACTGTCCTTGCACTGATAGCCTGCCTAGGAGACACAATCCAGTACTGTGTTGTTCAGATAATTTTGATAATGTTTAAGTTAGATTATCAGAAAAAAAAAAATAATGGGAGCATACTAATTTAAATTCAGTCTGTAAATGCTCTTGAGTGAGTTCTTTCAAAGTCTCCTTGGTCAACAGTAAACCATGTTTATGAACTTTGATCACAAATGAATTTCATGACAGGTGATTTTTTTTTTTTTTTTAAAAAAGGAAACATGAGCGTCTGTTTGTTCAGCATGTCTACAGTCCCACTTCTGGGAGCCAACATAGTCATACTAATATATCACTGTCACTGTTTGAAAAACAGCCCCAAATTTATGGCAGGTGCCAAACCCTAAAATAAACATATAACAAACAGTTCTGGGAGCAGTAGAAACAGCAAAGCTTGATTTATTACAGATGAATTATGGCTGAATTGCTAACAAACTAAGCTCTGACCAACACTTTTGCCTTGGTTGAAACAGTCAAAACATCTATTTCACCTGTGGTCTGCCTAGTGCAATTGGGGGTGTGCTCATGTAAGTCTATCCCTTACTGGTCCCTTTATTTTACCTAGCCACTTATCATCTTCAAACCCACTGGAAAATGGTGTATCTAAGTCCTCTAAAATTCAGCAAACCAGCTCAAAAGTCATGGGAGGAATTATCCATAGATCTGTATTCTCTACACACAAAGAATAGTGGGAACAATAAATCTTAAACCTATGCAGTAAACTAGATATTTTTCCATAATTTTCCAAGCATTGGCATAACTTTCCTTTCTTAAATATGTCTATAATATCCATTGATTCTGTAGATCATACCTGAGCTATTTTTTGGTCATAGAAATATAAAATTCAAATTGTAATATGAGGGATCTGCAATACCTTAGTGAGAAATAACTGTTTATAGAGGAATGTGTCAAAGCCAGCCTTTGATGTCACTGACTGCTGTTACATGTTTATGCAGCAAAGGCACACACATTCTGCTGTGGGGTACCTGTATTGGAAGCCTTTGGGTCAAACAACTGAAAGTCTTTCAACTTGGTTTTCACTTTGTTTCTTAAATGTCTTAGTGAGAACATCCAATATAAAAAATTTAATGTGATTTCTCCAGACTGCAGGAGGTATATGAAAACTGATGGCACATTCCCACGAGTACAGTTTACACTACAGGGAACAAACGATTCCAAAAGTCAAAGACAGTGAAGACGAAGACCTCCTAATGTGAGGGACCAGAGGTGAAAATTAGTGGGGAAATAAGCAAGGGGAAAAATAAAGAACTGATAAATCAGATAGAATAACACCAAATCTCTGAATAATCTACAGTAATTTCCACACCCTCCAAAAATGCAAACAGTTCTTTGAATTAATGTGGTCATGTAGAATACATATTGCTACTCCATCAGCCCATGTGAACATAGATTTCAGGAAGAGTATGTTCTTTCAGGGCACTCACTGATAACTGTTTGAATACCTGTTCTGTTTATCCCATCCTATCCTATCCTATCCTATCCTATCCTATCCTATCCTATCCTATCCTATCCTATCCTATTCTTCTTACATCATACTTGTCATGGCATGTTGTCAAAATCTTTCAGCTGAATGTTACATAACATGACTCAAAACTGTTACATACAGTAATCACAAATTTGCAGCAATTATTTTATTCTCTGGAGAATGTTTTCCTGAAAATAATAAAAAAAATAAATTCATATTACACTGACTAATTTATATTTATTAAAAAATTATGATAGTTTCACAAAATGCAAAGTGAATCCTTGTGTTCCCGAAACTACAATTCAGTGAGACAGAAAGTAGCTCTCAGAGTTGGGGCTGGTCTCCAGAGATAACATCCCCACAGCCATCGCTATGGCCAGAAAATCCCAGCTAGTAGTTTTGGTGATTTTTGTAGATCAGACACCAAAAACTAATTTTGAACCTTTCAATTGCCTCTATGAAACTAACCACCACGTCTTATTTGAGTGTCCATTTTCTTCTTGATTTCAAGAGGAAGTTCTGGGTGGAAACTGGACATCTAAAAGTGTCTATGGCTCTGACCTCTACTGACTGTAGGTTATAGATTGGAATTGTGTTCTTTTTGTGAAAGGTATCTGAAAGCTGTCCCTCCAGAACCAAAATGGCATTGTGTGATTTCCCTCTGAAGTGACTGCCAGGGAGAAATGCCATCCATTTAAACTTCAATATTTGCTGTTGTTTCAGAGTTTCACAGCTGCGCAGTTCCTGACCCAAGTGCAGGACCTGCAAGTCCTAATGACGCATAGCCCAAAGTGATGTGACCTTTTTGACTAGACCTCAGGGTCCCAGTATAACAAAAATGACAAAAAAAGATAGCTATGAAACTAAATAAAGAGCTCAAAGTTAAAATTTCTCTTTTAAGATCAATGAAAAGGTTTTATTTGAAGAAGTTATTGCCCATTTCTGTGAATAATGAGGCTGCTGCCAGAAACCTAAGAGATATGTCCCCCCAGGCCATGGTATAGAACTAAAACCAAGTGAAAGAGACTACAACATATTAATTAGTCAGTGGACTTCCAGCTTCTCATTAACAGTCTCCACTGAAGTTTCAGTAATTCCTAAGCATTCCATAATAAAATAGAACCCACTTCAGGCATCGAAGCAACAACAGATTAATTCAGTGAACTTCTGACCCTAGTGTGAGGATTGAGTTCTAATCCAAAATCTAAGGAGGACTAAGGAGGAAAATTCCATAAACACACAAAGGTCAAGACAAAACCAACCAACCAACCAACCAAAAAACAAGGTAAGGTAAATTTTTATCATAGGTTGTTGCAAAAACTACAGGAGTTGGATTGCCTGATGCCATTAAGAGATTTTTCAAAGGAATATGACAACTACCATCTACAAATTAGTCTTTTCAGCTGACCTTCCCTGAAACATTTGTTTTGTTTTCTTTCCTCTTTTTCTTCCTTTTGACTTAATACATATAAAATAAAGGGTTTAGTTAGTGAAGAACCAAATACTTTAAATTTGCTGAGACATTCTGAAGACTCCATGTCTCTGGTCAGATGCCAGAAGCCTTGGGTTTCAATTACTTTGCATCATGTGGTGGACAAAGATTTCAATTGTGTTATGTCAAGGCTGAAGTGTGAACATATTAGACATATTACCACTCTTTAGACATAAGAAGATCTACAAGTCGAGAAGCAGAGAGGCAGAGGAGGAAGTAAAACGGAGGAGACATGCATCAGAGTGCCTGACCACTCTCTGCCCAAATTCTCCAACTTTAGTCTGAAGTTCTCTCCCTCAAAACAGGTCTCTCCCATGTGGATCTTCAGGAACTTTGCCAGAATTAAACTCTCTGAGTACTCCACTGCTGTCAGATGTCACTGAGTCACCGGAGGCCGCAAAGTTACTAAGGATGGGCAGGACACATGTGCATATGAACCACTGTGGCATAAATCTTTTCCTTCAGAAAACCAGGCTAGGACCAAATCCTTTGACGTGTGTTTTCTATGTCATACTGCCGCTTAGTCATGAGGAAGTGATGCAGGACAAGGAGTTCTCTTTGGGAGCCACATAAATACAGTTTTCTAAGAAATTTTACAGTACATTCAACTACTGCACATTTTTCTAAAAAGTCCCATTTCTTTGAAAGAATCAGAAAAATACTTTTCCCAAGAGTTCTGCTTTTCATCTTCAGCATGGTGTTAAAAGTTCATGAGGATAAAAAAAGACAGCAAAAGGCAAAGCAAAGCAGTAAGTCTGTGCTGCTTATTTTAATAAGCAATGCTACTGTTCCAGTATCCATCTGGCTAAACAGTCCCCTATTTTGAATTTTAGCATCACAAGTTTCCAAGAAAAAAAAGGTAATTCTAAAAACTTTAACATTAAAGGAGAAAAAGTCTACACACTATGAGACCCAGTAAGAATGCAATATTCTGGTAACTTTGAATTAGATTTGCCATAAATTAGAGGGTTATAGAAAAATGTATTTCAGGAAAGGCTGAGTTTCTCCTTAACAAAAGATACATCCATTTTTTTTTTTGCTAAATTAAGTCAGGATAATCCTATAAGGGCTCTTCATCAGTATTCTGCTGATAAAATGCTATTTATGCAAGCAGTGAAGAGCTAAGGAAATAACAAAGGTCTCAAAGAAATATAAAGAAAAACCCAGTGACTGTACTAGAGTTGTTCTCTCACCTGCACAATGCAAGTTTGCACATTACTTTTCTGTATCTCATCCTCAGTGCCAGGGATTTATTCAGTGCATGGAAGTATGAAGACAAACAATGGTTTTTTTCACCTCTACAGAAAGCAGCTCCACAACTGCAATGAGCAGATATCCTGCACGATGCAATGACAGTGAGGGAGGACTGAGTTTTAAGTTTAATTCTCCTGTGCCAAACAAAGAAGTCGCAAAACTTTCTACAGAAGGCGAAGAATTTCTCGGTATGGGAGAAACAGCAGTTTATATCAGTTTATACTCAGTATCTATTCTTATTTTTGCCCATATTTTAAAAGATTTTGTTAATGATCCTACTTTAAGTCTGAAAAAAAAATCAAGTTAGGAATAGAACAGTATAGAGATATCTAATAGATCATCTGGGGTGTCTACCTACAATTGAACATACTTCCATTATTGTGCAATATACTTCAAAGAGACAGTGTCTTACACAATAATCAATGTCTGAATTTGCAGAGGAAAAGGAAGAAATTATGCTTGATTAATAAATGTTCTTGATTGAGCCATTTACCAGAACAGGACATAGAAAGGGAAAAAGATCTTAGTATTCTGTTAACAAGTTCACAAAAATGCAGTGAGGATAACATCTGTGAGCCATATAAAGTAGGAGGCAGAGAAATAACAAATGAGACAGATGCAGTCAGACATGGCAAGACTCACCGGCAGGATAAATTATTCCATCTAACCATCTCTATCTCAGGGACTCACAGATCTCCCATGGTCTTTAACTTTTTTTTAAGTGGTTTGGAATCTTCCATTTTTATTGTGTGTTGCAGCACTGTGAACATACTATAACTCATATTGAGGATAATTTGATTAGGATTTTTTTTTTGTTAAGTTTGTTTTGTGTAAAATGAAACCCACAGGGATATTAGATGCATTAATGTAAACGATTACCAGTATTTTTTTACCAGTTGAATGCAATTTTGTCAATTTGGTAAAGATGAGTAAGACTACAATAAAAAGAAAGCACAATTTTCAGACACAACTGTTAACTCCTGGAGCTCTCCCACCTTCCTCAATACAGATGATGAACTACAAGCACATGTGGTTCATTGGTTGCTACCTGGTAATCCCATTGCACAAATTTACCTTACACCAGCTTTGGGATGAGAGACAATAAAATGCACAAGCAAATATTTCCATAGATTTGGCATTCCTTTGATGAGAAATGTTTAGAAGTTCAAGATAATTCAACATTGTAAACACAAAGAAGAATATGTAGTTAAATTTGGACCACTGATAGACTAGGTTTACCTGTATTCAGAACAGTAATTTATAGGTATTTTATATTAAGAACAGGTAATCCACATTTTTTTAGTTATCTCTTTCTCAGTGAAATCTCTGTGAAAAACCAGAAGACTCCTTCCACAGTGACTTTGAACCATAAGTATGCTGACCTTTAAAAATCAACAACACTTTGTGGTTTTGTTCTTATCTTTCCTCTCACTGACAACTATGACAAAATTGTTGGCAGACTTTCAATATCTCAGACCATGGACTTTTAGTGAGTCACCAACTGTTCAGATACCTTGTTATTCACAGCCCAGTTTCTTCCTCAAGCCTCGAGGGACCACTGGTGTGGGAAGTGCAAGATGTTAGTTGTGATTCTGGATCTGGCACCTTTATAGTAAAGCTATCCTGCCTTGAGCCCTAAGGCAAGAGCAGCTGTATATCAAAGTGGCATTGAGTTTCGCAGTTGCCGTAGTGGGTATTTGACATATAAAATGCCTATGCTGCTTTGGGGTCCCAAAATCAGGAAGGCTTTGAAGTCACAGAGAATATTATTATATTGGTTTCACCCAAAGAGCACAGGTTATTTGGAACAGAGCAACTCCCTACCTTGAAAACTTTTGTTTTTTAGAGATAAATGCTGCTCCACCTCCACCTCAGTGATTCTCAGTGTTTTTGTTATATTCTTGTAACATCAGAGATATTGGTGAATTCTGCTGTAGCAAATATGCCAACCCAAATCCATAAGCCTAGTGCTAGTTGAATTTACCTGTTGAAATCAGAGAAAAACAATTAAACTTAACTCCTTTTACTTGAGATAGGAGGTTCAGAAGGGGTCAACAAAAAAGAGACAAACATTTTGTGTTGCAATCCTCATGATGAAGCCGCATCCTTTCCCTGAGCTGTGGCAATGCTGCTGCAGGAGTCCTACAGGTAGAAGCATAAGGAACAGATCAAGTAAAGATTGCAGCAAAACAGTGCAGGGCTGCAGGATCCCGTGAGGTGCTGGACTGTATGAATTGGGGATGAGGGAATGAGACAGGCTTAGCAGGCTAAGTGTCTGATGAGTGAGGGGAAGAAGAAGGGAATATGGAGATTTGTTAGGTGATATGTTATTCAAGTAGTCACAGTTATGCCTCTGGTTTGGTTAGAGAAAAGAGGTGTCAAAATGAGATATTTTTTCACTATCAGCAAGGAACCAGGTCTTGAGGCAATATAAATCAGCATGTAGCTGCTGACCATGGTGACCTCATACAGGTTCATGCACATTCTAGACCTCTGTTGCTAGTATGATATCCCACTTCTGCTCCGGTTGTGCCATTTTGTTACAATGAACTTTCTTTGTTCAAGAAAGCTTCTTTGGCTTCCTATGCAGATCTAGTAATCTGGTTGGTTTGATTTGGTTTGGTTTTTTCCCCTCAATTATCAAATCAAGACGAGCAGCAGGTGCTTTTGTACAGCTGACTAAAAAGGCTCCTCATGTTTTTGCTTTTGACATGTATAAGCAAATGTAACCAGTTATCACCATTGAGAGGGACTACAGAGGGCATTCACTAGCAAAAAAGCAAGCAAAACACTTACTGAAAATCTACTCTTGTGATTTTTTTATTTCATATTTGTGTCCATACAGTATTTGAAGTAAATTTCATCTTGTGATATTTAATATAGCCATCCCTAGCTCAATCACATATAGTTAGCTTAGTAAAAGAAGAAACACTGACTTACTAAAGAAATACGCTGCTGTTTCTGATTCACGTGATTTGCGGGGGGGGTCTGAACTCAGAGCTCGGGAGGTGCTTCTTTGGTGGTGTGGGTCTCACCCACCCTTTGTGAACTGAAGTTTCAATACATCACCATTGCTGGCAAAGTCTCTGACCAGCTATTGTATCAATGGTAGCTGGTGATCAATCACAACCCTAGGGCAGTGTGGGAGAAAGAATGGATAGAAAAGCTTCAACTTAGCTGTCTTGAATTGACATAACTGCAGTTACCATTCTTTCAAGATTACTAGGCACATTTTTTTTTTTAAGTGTCTCATCTGAGGCTCTTTGCATTGTTTCTTTAACAAATTTGAGAATATGTATGTTTCTAGTAATCTATTAAGACTTTTTCATCTTTCATTTTATGATCTCACATTGCCTTTCTTTTGACAAAACATCTCTTCTGTTAAGGCACTTCTCTGTGATATTTGGATAGAACAGACTTTGAAACAAATTAGGCCTTGATTAGTCCCTGCCTGGTTCTCTTCCTCTTTCTGCCTTTCCTTAAACTTTTCCTGAAATTTCAGTGAAAGCACAGATTTCAACATAAAACTTAATTCTTGAGATTAGAGCATGCAGTGAGGCTCACTACTTTTTATCTGAAATGGGGTAGACAGCAGGTAGCATTTAGTGCATTGCCTTTTTCTTGAAATTACTGTCTTTATTTTTTTCTGCTCTTGTTCTGTACCTTTGCCATATCTGTATTGGAAAGCACATTAGAAAAGAGGAAAAAGGAGAATAAAATGGATTTTCTGCTTCTCTGAGGTAATTTCTTTCCCCCATTGGTTTCTGTGAAATGATCAAAGCCATTTACTGAAATAGCAGGAAAAGGTTTAAAATAGGTTTGTCCCCTGTTTTGCTGCTGCTCTGCCTGAGCCTCTTTTTCCCTTTACCATTTACAGTATTGGTAGCTTCATTAAGCAGGGGCTACAACAACCAAACCTGCCCTGATTCTCCAAGGAGTGTCCTCTCTCCCTGTCTTCCACTACCTATTTTGCTACTGCTGCACATTCAAACCAGGCCCTTTTCCAGCTAGTTTGACCTGGTCAAACAAGTAAGAGCAGCCCTAATCTGATGGTATATCCTGGTGGGAGGAATCCCTCCTGGGTGAATACACCCTCGCCTCGCATAGAGCCTCCCCAGGCATGTCTTGCTCACCCCTTACAGCTGCTGGAACATGGATAAAGGCCAGGATTAGGGAGACAACTGTGGTTCCTAATGCCTTGCCCATTTGTAGCTGGTTCTTGGTCATCTGTTGGACCTATGGGTCATGCACCTTAGCCAAAACTGGTCCCCATGTCAGTCAAATTTAAGCAGAAGAAACAGATAGTCCAGGTTTTGGAGTGTGTGCACCTTGCTCTTTGCTCCCCTCAATCATTTTTGTCTCACCACCCAGGGACTAAAAGTTTTGCTACTGCTAACAGCAGCATCATACTTACTTCATGGAGTTGTAAAATGTCTGGTTTTTCTGTGTAGGAAAATATGGATTTGAATGCACTCCCAAAACACTGAAGGGAAGGATGCAAAGATAAGTCAGCTCAACATAGAAACCATGAGAACAATCATTCTCAGCCAGTGAAGGAAGCTGACAAAGCATTCATCAGTAGTCTCTAGAAGTTCAGAAAATCAGTAGCAAAGTATGCTCTGCCACCACAACATGTACCTGTCCAGTGGATTTTCACGAAACCAAAGCCATGCTGAAAATAGAAGGATCTCCCAGCATCTTGTTTTGCACCAAGGAGGTACCCGTTCCTTTGGGATCTGAAGAAGAAATGCATAACTAGCTTATTGTATGAATAATAGAAGTACTGTAAGAAGTGATATCAATAATAGATACTGCGACAACACTTCTGATGCTAATAGATGCACTGGAAGAGGTAATAGCAATCTCACCTTCCTGCTGATGCTGGCAATGCTATCACAGTCCTGGATGAGCCCTTTCATGGATCATGGCACAGTGCACACATCCCAACAGCGGCCAGGTTCATTGTTGTTGTGGTCTGTACAGCTTTTTTAGGATTTTCGTAGAAGTAAACAATTCTATTGATGATTTCTGCTGCCAGGTAAAGAAATACTCATGTAAGCATTCTGCTCCATCTCAAGATAAGACAAGATACACAGATGGTGCTGTCCACATGTACTGCATGGGGCCCCCACTGAGGCATCTCTGTTACAGCTTATCAGTTGAGTTGGTCCAGCAGTCACCAAGTGGGCATTGAGTGGTACACTCCTACACGTCTCTGCTGGAACAAGCTAAGGAGAGTCATGGGATGGGCTCAGGTTATTTGTCAGTTACTCATGCTAATATATGGGTTTCTACAACCAAGGTCTGTGGTCATTCTCTGCCTAGATTTGGTTAGAAATCAGGATATCCTATTTACCAGGTCTTCTGCAGGGGCCCACTACACAGATCCAGTGAATCACAGGAAATCTGCTCTATCCTAAAAACCCACTGCCCCTGTGCACAGCAAAGAAAATATCATATTCTGTTAAAATCAGTTAGTTACCAGAATTTTTTTAGCTGAGACAAAAAAAGGACTGGAAAGAAAGCTACAATCTACAATCTCGGTACATTTAAATGTTTCTTTGATTTTGTAAACAAGGTTGAATTGACAGGTAAAATAGCAATGTCCATTCTGTGTGCCTTTGAAAACAGCTGTCAAGGAAGATTAAAACCAACATTATTTCCAGTCTAAAAATAAGCTCTGAAAAGCACTGTACTGCATGTATCTCTCAGTCATGCTTTGTTCCTTTTGCACTGCTCTGGCACAAATGGGCTCTCAAACCAGCTGATAACACTGATCACCTTGGAGGGAGAGATAAAAGGAGTCTCTTCCTGAGAAGACTGAGAACTCTTCTACCTACTAGATCTTGTCTGTCTGTTTTAGTTTTAGTTAAATGGGAAAGTTTTGGAGAACTTTTTCATACCATCACATGGTTCAGAGCGTGGGGGACCCCCCTCCCAGCAACTGAGCTGAGCCAGGGAGGGGCTGTTCCCAGCATCTCGGGACCTGCCGGAAAGGGAGTGGGGTTCCTGAAGTGAAGCATCACAAGAACTCAGGAAACAGGATAAAATCCCCAGTGCTTCCAGAACTTTTACTGCCTTTTTCCTGGGTGTCATTGCCAAGGGAAAGAACCACTGCAGTCCCCATGCTGGACACTTCAAAGAGCTCCCCTGGGTTATCCCGGTCCTACCATTGTCTCTTCACATGGTCTGCTACATCAGAACACACACAATGGTTCCCTTTTTCTAGTCACCTAGGACTTTACCTGACTGCCATGGAGAGTGGCTTGGCAACTACATCAGTCAATTCCCTCAGGACTCTGGGATGCATCTCGTCAGGTCCTATAGACTTATGTACAGGTTCCTCAGGTGGTCATGAACCTGACCTTTACTTACAGTGGGAGGGACTTTGCTCCCCCAGTCTCTGTCCTGCTGTCCATCCACTTATGGTGTGGGAAGGTAGGTTGCTATTGAAGACAGAGGCAAAAAAGTTGTTGAGTGTCTCAGCCTTCTTCTCATCCATTGTTAGCAGTTTACTAGTACTGTTTAACAGGGGGCTACACCTTCTTTGATCTTTCTTTTCTGATTAACATACCTGTAGAAGCCCTTCCTGCTACTCTTTGGGTCTTGCCAAGTTCAGTTTCAGCTTTGCCTCGGCCTTCTTCACCCCATCCCTACAGAACTGAACTTCACCTCTATACTCTTCCCAGGTCATCTGTCCTTGTTTCCACTGCCTGTGCATTTGCTTCTTTCCCTTTAGTTTGACCAGCAATTCCCTACTCAGCCATGCTGGTCTCTTGTCTTTCTTGCCTGACTTCTTGCTCTCATGGATTGTTAATTTTATTGCTATTTTCATAACTTTTTTGCGTAGGAAAAAAAATGCTATGAATTAAACATTATTTTACTCCAGAGACCACTACCAATTCCACCTACAAATGTCAGTACTCTCCACATTTGCATCTTCTGAAAGACTTTCTGAGCAGTGCTGGGTATTTGCAATATTTTATGGCCACTTACAAGACCATCAGCTACCAGATTCTTGTGGACACTACGGGTCGAAAGAGAAGTAAAACCTAAAACTCACTGAAGCTCAGGACTGCTGTACTGGTATAGCTGTGCTCACCCTTGAAACACACTCTGGTCAGACCCCTAGAGAGCAGCCTTGGTAGGGCTGACTCTGGACTGGGCAATGGAGGAGACTCCTGCTTCACTTTAGTCATCTGGACAAGCACTACAGCTTTCTTCCTGCATGGGCTTGGCAACAGCAGTACCATTCCTTTTCACACTCCCAGAAGGTCAATGTTAGTCTATTCAGACCTTCTCAGAGCTATTTTAATTTTACTTGTGACATTTCTACTGAGGCCACATTTGGACAACAGTTGCAGAGAGCAGTGAGTCAGTAATTCTGCAGTGGTGGCTGTCCCTCAGTGCTGGTACAAACCCTTCTGCACCACACTACTCAGAACATGTGGAAATTGTGTGCAGTCTTCCAGGAAGCTTTTAATTTGCTATTCACTTCCAGCAGCAGGAAAGGTTTTCTCAGATTTCCATTTTAAACACTGATTCAAATGAAGTCTGAAGATTATTGTTTTCTTATGCAAAATGAATGAATAATTAATTGTCATGGGATTTCTCTGTGTAGTTCCCATCCCTGAGGAATCTGAGCAACTGATGGAGTTCTTCAGATTGAAAATAATTCATAAACACAGGAAATGCAGCCTCTGCATGAATATTCATGATTATTCCACATCATATTCTGCCAATAATCCCACTGTTGCTACACATCCAAAGCTCATAAGTTATGGCACGTGATGATACATTTCAAATAATGTTCAAGATATTTGTAATTTCAATGGAATAGCTGGCAATGATACACACCCAATATGTATTATGGTAGCTGTAAGAGAGTCATTAGGATGGGATGCAAATATTTGAAATGAACAGTGTACAAAATTTGGCAAGTGCTAATAGAACGAGCTGAATAAAAAAAAAAGAAAAAGAAAAAAAAAGATGTGCACTGTTCCCACAATGGAACCGTCTGAAACTATTCAGACCCTGAATGTGTTGTTCAGGAAACACAGCAGTGTTACCACCCATGTATTGCAACCCAGCCTCTCTCCACAGCATTCTCACTGGTACTGCCTATATAGGTGTCCCAACAGCATGCTTGTTCATCTGCCCTATCAGTTTATAATGGGTACCTTGGGATAGACCCAGACTAAACCCAAGAAAAATAAAGACAGGATTAGTTTACAGTTATCTATGATCTCTCCACCCCCGCTTTTCTTTGCTGCAGCCTCCTCATTATTTTTTAGCACAGACTCCTGTACAAAAACCATCAGTATGGAAAGAGCTTGTTTAAATATGGAAAGTATTTTTGTGGCTTGTTGGTATCCTTGCTCTAATGTTAAAGGACAACCCCTTCTTATATGGAAAGTGCATAGTCATATTGTGTTTATTCCAGAACCTAAAGAATATATGTATTGATAACACCTACGTAGAAGTACAAATTTGTTTCAGTGGCTTTTGCAAGATGAATGAACTCAAATTCCCAGAACATCTTGGGTGTTTCATCCAAGCTGTAGATGCTATAAAGCAAATTGTAGGAAAGCCTTCAAAAAGGCTGGAAGTTGCTCTCAATGAAGACTCAAATATTTGACAAATTTTCTCAGCAATCAGTTCCCTGATGACGTAAAACCGATCTGGAAATCTTACAAGTGCTGTCATTGCAAAGTCAGCAATGCAAGCCTGTGATGCCACAAAGCCAGCTCATGATATTTTGAGGGCTGCACCTCACAGTAGAAAATGAAGACGGATATATATAAAAAAAGCATCTTTAGAATTGAACAGAAATAAAATTTGTCCATCTATTACAGAAACAGTGGACCAACAAAGCAGAGAGATCCAAGAAATGTCTCACCTGAAGGGAAAAACCTTCCATTTTCATTCACAGTTTTGTAGATACCAGAGAAATCAGGGAAGAAACTTTGTAGAAGTCTCAGAGATATGAAAAACTCCTAACAACTTTTTTCACAGTCACAAACATAATCAGTGAGAAGACAATAATTCACAAATTCTGATATTCCTGATGAACATGCTGAACCTGCTGGAATTTACTCAGCTCTGACTTTCAGAACACTGCCTTTTGACTTTGAGATTAAAGCTTGGATAGGTCATCAAGTAACCCAGACTGGTTCATCTGTTTTCCTCTACTCTCTTTCTTAACATATTTCTTGAAAGACTTTAAATGTACAGACTGTGAGGAATCAAAATACCAGGTACCACTACATACGTCTGTAAAAATATCTCAGTGAATCTTTTGGAAAAAAGGAAATGGATCCTGGCTGAATTTCTTACAAAGCAGAATTGCAAAATGTCCTATAGGAATTTCTCTCTGCTCAAGAGCCTGGTGTTCCAACTGCTGTTTTGGGGAGCCTAGGCGAGCTTAATCTGGGGACTAGGTCACCATCTTAAGTGGTTCCCTCCCTAAGGCAGGTATCCTAAATGCAGCTATTATTCTCTTGCGGAGATTATGCTTTTTGTGAACAGGAACTTGTTTTATATAGTTCACTTAAGCCTGGGAGGAGAAGCCTCACTGGTTTTGTGATCATTTCCAGAAGCAGTGTCCCTGAAGATGGCACATTTGGAGACGACATTATTTCATATTGCTGCACAGCAGCAATTGGCACTCCAGTCTATCAAAGATACTACTTGAGCAACATAAAATATTAGCCAACACCCACAAGGAGAAACAGATTTGTTTTCTATCCCAAAATATACCTCTGCAGAGTACCTGTTGTATTGCACTTAATCTAATTTACTGTAGGAGACATGAACCCCCTCGCTGCAATCAAGCTATTTTTTAAAAGAGATTGGTGATTCAGCTGAGTGGTGACTAAACCACTGACAAATTTTCCCTGTCAGCTCATGTGTATAAAAAGATGCTTTGCTGGAATGTATCATCTGCAGATACCACTATTTTGCTGGAATGAATGGGGGTTTGCCAGTCAAATTATATTACTTTATTTCTTATTTAAAATTATATGCATCTG